AGGAAAGTGTTGCCTTAGGAATTTCACCTTAAGGAATCTGATGCAACACTTTTCCAATAGCAACACTTTTTAGAAAAGGTTGTATTTTCACCTGCACTATAAAAGTTGCGAAAATGCCCTTTTTGATCTTCAAAAAATTTCTCCATCTTCATTTCTTGTTACATTCTGTACAAAATAAAGTATTTTCTAAAACTAGTCTATTACATACAAAATAAACAAAAGAAAACTAACTATTTATTTATTAACATACCATATGAATAAATAAATATTACAACCATTATAAACAAATCAACATAATGTCCAATGTTAGTTTATGCACATCATACATATATATACTCAAAATTATATAAAACAACTCTTTATTTTTTTTAAACAACTTTTGTGACAAAAACTACATGTAAACTTTTGTCACCCAAAAATAACAATTATAAAGTTGTTAAAGAAACTATATATGGATTTCTCTTGCAAAGAGAAAATCATCTATGTTTTCCAAAAACAAAGATTTCATCAACTTAACAAATAATCTAACTAATTTTGCAAAAATGACTCTGATACCAATTGTTGAGTTTTAATTCAAAAAATTGATTCATAAATACAAGGATAGTAACGGAAGACTTTAATTTTGAACAAAATAAAACTAATTTTGTTCCCACCAAAAAATATTTTGCAAGACTTAGAATGATTAAATAAAACCAAAGAAGAAGAAAGCATAACAACTTTTGAAGACTTTGATCCTCATGTGAGATTGGAAGTTGATGAAATGTGACATTAAGCTCTCTAGAAGTATCCACCGTAGCAATATGAATCCACCATTATATGCTAGTAAAAACTTGTTAAAATGTTGTTCTTAAGCATTAAAATATATACAAAAATATGTCTAAAGAGAAGCAACACTTTAAGCATCAATAATGAGCTCCAAAATGCAAGACATGGAGAGAGGATGAAAACTTTTACCTCTGGGCCATAATGACAGAAAAAGGGAAGAAGTTTATGCAAGAAAAACTAGCTCTCTTCACTCCATGCACTAGTTAATATATATTAGACCATAAAGGTAAGAAGGGACAATAAAGTTAAAGTGAATGTCCATTTCTTACAAACATGGAGAAGGGATTAAATAAGCAAGGGTCCTATTTTACACATACCACTCTACCTATTATATTAGATTCTATGGTCTACTTTTTATCATTCATTTATCCTATAATGATTAAAAACACACTAAATCAAATGTCATTATTATAATAATAATTAAGTAATGATTATTACTTTACTTTAATAAACACATATAATATAAATTGATTTTTTTAAGAAAAAAAAAATAATTATATTTTTGTAAATATATTATATAATAAAACTAATAAAAAAATATATAAAAGCACAATCCATTTTAAGAAGTCAAATCTATCATGCATTAGATATTAACATTGATAACGTATTATTGTATATTAAAATAAACTAATGATCTTAAATTATTTATAAAATCAAATAAAAAAAAGCTAAATGTATTTTTCTAATATTATTATAAAATAGAACTATTAGAAAATTTTAGAAGCCCAATTCATGCATCAGCCCATATTATCCAATTAAATTTCATACGATTTAGGCATAACCTAAAAATGTAGTTACTAAACTCTCTCTCTCTCTCTCTCTCAACAAAGAATACACTACCTCATCCATCAGACTACCGACGTCACCGAAACAACATCATCAACATACCAATGCCGCCACTGTACCAACTTTGTCACCTACTTGATATCGACGGTAGGTCGTCGGCGTTTGGTTTCTCTACTTCTATTATTCGATCATTCCCTCTCTCTCTCTCTCTCTCTCTCTCTCTCTCTCTCTCTCTCTCTCTCTCTCTCACACACACACACTTTCTTTTGTTTCCCAACGATGGCCGACGGTATGTCTCCGGCTACCGGTTGTGTTATTACTTGTCGTCGGTAGTGAAGTTCGTGGTTGGAGGACTCGTTTATATCATATTGCAGGGTGTTAGAATATATTAAATTGAAATATTTTTAAAAGATAACATAAATATCTAATTTATATTTTATAATATAGCAAGTTTTAAACATTTTAATAAATAAACTAGATATGTTGCCCATGCTCCGTATGGGCCGTGTGTGTCTGATTTAAGTGTCGTTTTTGTTTATAAATTAATAGGCGTTTTAGTTGACTTTGATGAGGGTAGGAAAAAACAAAAAAAAAATATGAGGACCAATATAGAAAAAATATACCAAAAGTAGAAAATGACGGACGTAGAAAATGCAAGGGTGAAAACCCGGGCTTTGGCCCAGGCCGTTTTTTGTGTTTCTTATGAAAAAATATAAAAGTTTTGACTGCAAGAACCACAAGTGTCAAATGGCTAAAGAATTAAAGGGGTGGAATTAGCAAGTTTTTAGAAAAGGGACCAAAGTTGTCAATTCCTTAAAGTTTTGTGGTTAAACTTTGAATATTAAAACGTTCCTATAAAGTATAAAAATTTTGATTGCAATGACCAAAAGTGTCAAAATGGCTTAAAAATGAAAGACAAAGTTGACAAAAAACATGCAGGTTTACTATTCCTAACTCTTAACTTTTTTAATATATATACTAGAAATGAGGCCCGTGCGTTGCACGGGTCAGATGTTTTTGTTGATGTTTGGCAGCTCACGAAAGTAGGATGCTATAATGCCATTCAAATAGTTAGCAACTGGATAGATTGAATATAGTACAATGTCCTAATGTAACAAATGAAAGTAAACAAATAAATTAGTGTGCGTTGCTATTTTTTGCATTTAACGCTTTTGGCTGATAGTAAAAACATTTTTAGTCGAAATCTCATTCCTCATAACTTGAATAAAGCCACCTGAAGAAAAGAAAACATATTTTCTATTATTATCGTATTGACATTTTTTTGGATGCAATTGTGCATACTAAAAAGATTACAATATCTACCCTTATCCATCAAGAATATGTTATTTAAAAAAACAAAACAAAACAAAACTTTTGGGACCATTTACCCTAATTGCCATTTTGTTAAATTAAAGCTAAGTGAAACGTGTTTGTTGACCACAAATAGAATCTAACTGAAGGTATTGAATATTAGAAACTTTGATGGTATTCTCAACTTGAACCCCACGTGGCAGAAATAACTGCAGCAAAAACAATAATTTTTTAGGGAAAATTAAGTACATTATAGCAAAATTTAGACTACATTGTTGTTTTTGTATAGACATGTAAGTACGTTAGTGTTTCAGATAGATAATAAATGAATGTACAAATCCATTATAAACAAAGCAATAAAAGTACATTGTTATTTAAAAGCTGATAATTATCCATACCTCGAGTGCACGGAGCATCACTTCAACCGGTGGAGATAATTTCGGAACAAAAACCGATGGATGTTTGTGATGGATGAAGCTCTTTCCTTCTTCTTTACCCGAAGTAAATGTTTTTGTGCTTGTTTTTTAGCTTCAGTGACTTTCTCAAGCTGTAAGAATTAACATTCCAAATGGGATATTAATATTTCCGTTTATTCCAAAGATAAGACCATTTTACCCTTGTCTACATTAAGAAATAAAACATACTCCCTCCGTCCCAAAATTATAGTCCATCTTTCCTTTTTGGTTTGTCCCAAAATAATAGTCCACTTCTAAAAATAAATAACATTTTTACCAAAATACCCCATCATTATTACTTAACCAACTAAGCATTTAATAGAACATTAAAATGCAAAGTAAGGACAAAACTGTCATTTTATTAAATAAAGTTAGTGGTAATTAATGTTTTTCTTAATATGTGTGTTTTTTATCTGTGGACAATAATATTGGGACAGAGGGAGTAGTTACTAAAGATAGCTAATTCGTAAACAAAAACCTACCAATCCTCATATCCTAAATCCTAAATCAAACAGCAGGAATCAAGAATTATGTTGCATGATGAGTAGTGGCAAGATATAAAATCTCATCAACGTCATAACCCAACCCGGGTGAAGTAACCAACCTAGGAACACTACCCTGGTCAGAATTTAGGAATGTAAGTAGAAGGGGTGGAATAGACATATCGGGTGCAACTTTACTAGTTCCTAAGCTTCACTTCATAAAATGCAATTTTAATACAAAAAAATAAAAATAAAAGACTCAAAGAAAGTAAAATGTGCGATGAGTTTTAGGATCTGTTGGTGTATTTTGATCGGGTCTGCACCAATTTTCTGCAAAAAAAAAGACATTAATATAATCATATTAGTTTAGTAAAAAAAAGACCACTTAAACCATGGGATAAACATAAAGCAATTTTACCATTTGACGATGAGGCCTGAGGGCATTTTCGTCCTTTTGCACAGATGGGAGATCGAAAGAATAGTCCTTGTCCCACTTTAAAAAAAAAGTGCTACGTGTATTTCCTTTCATAATACAATGTTTTTAGTTAAAATCTTTAAACTCTTGCAAGTCATTAAAATTAATTTTAAGTTTTTAACATTTTCTTTCATATAAAAGTATGATCCTAGATAAAAAAAAAAAATTAAAGATTACCTATAAGTCAATACTTCCTAAAAGAATTAGTGGATGTGACAGCATCCGAACCACACCTACTAAGATTAATATATGAGTGCATGAGAACAATTAAAAATAAATAAATAAATAATGCATCATGAATGCTGCGTTTAGTCTCCTCTATCATCATCTTGTTACCTAATTTATCACAAAATTATGATTATCTATCCAACAACATTTAATCAGGAAAAAAATGATAAAGCTTTGAAGGTTAAACATAACCAGGGGAGTAAAATGGAACATTCTTGAATAAAGCGGGTCAATTGTACAAAATACAAAACTCACAAGACCATTTAGTATAATGAAAATGGTTGATATAATTGACCTAAAAAGCTATCATTTCCATTGGTAAAAAGCTTTTTGTGTGGGAGATTCTTAATAACTGACCTCATGCAGTTAGTCCAAAACAGAAAGTCTTTATTTATACAACACTTAAAAAAGAAAAAGATACAGGTCCTAAAAAAAATGTTAACTTACCCCCACGAAAGAATTAGCACAATGCTCAATATATAGCATCGGATCTTTTGTGGTGCCAAATGATTTCTCTCTAACCAAACCAGTCTGCCCATAAATTTAATAAAAAATTTAAAAAGTCATTTATTATGTATTTTTCAGGATTACAACCAATGAAAATAGTAAATGAGAAATTATACCTTGCCTAGCTTTTCTGCTGTTAATTCCTGAAACCTAGGGACAATTCTTCCACCTGTTGAAAATAAAGAATAAACACCAAAATCATATCAAAAGGGTAAAATAGACAATAATCAGTTGTTATGCGATAATTAGTAGACACAAACCAGTGGCTATTGCTAGAAGCTCTAATTCAACACCACCAACCCATCTCACAGCAGGCAACTTTCTGTGCATTAATAAGTGATTTGCTTCATCATTAAAAGGAGAATGTGATGTGATTAATTAGTAACCAAGCTGGAACATAAAAAAAGATACCTGGATGTGAAATTGAATTTTGGACAGACAATCTCTTAATTTTAATCTGAGACGTGCACAATAAAGTGCACAACCGATGACATACCACTTCAAACTGAACTGCAAATTGAAGCACACTTTAAGTTTTGTTTGTTCATTAAGACATTTAACCAAACACTTAGTATTCATAGTAAAAAAACTCATCTATATGTTAAACAGACAAATAGGGTAACACGTACGTGAGTTTTGAAGAACAGATATTGTTTGCTAACCGAATCAGCCAAGCCATCTTCAGAATCACATAAAGACCAAAGTTAAAATGGCCCAAGTTAAAATTCTAAATTTTATATAATCCATATAAAATTTACAGTTTAAAGGCAACAAATGAAGTACCTAAATTCAAATTGGTGAAATATCAGTTCAAATTTTAACCTGTGTCACTTGTTTTCCTGCTGAACCAACACTGGAAACAACCATTAGTAATTGAACACTTCATTAATAGGGATAGAAAAATACCTTTACATGTTGTTGAAGAAGATGCGATGGTGCCCGCGGTTAGATTCCGCTTCTCATACGCCAGAGTATGTGAGAAACGATAAATCAAGGGTCAGATAAGATAAAAAAATTCCCCAATTTGATCTATCATTCAAAAAAAAATCGAAAACTTCAAAATCAGAATTGCATCTTCCATAATCGACCTATAGAGCGAAAGTTAGGGCATGAGAAAAACCGAAAAACCGACGATACATGATGAAATAAGAAACGTAAATTGAGTGTGAAAACCTCGTGGGCTTTGCCTCAGTGAGGGGCTGCGTACCTTTCGATTGGAAAAAAAACCCTATGTGACTTGGGTCTGGATTTTGAAATCGAAGCAATCTGAGGGGTATGACAGACGGAGAAAAGGGAAACAATCGGAGGCGATAGACAGAGAACCCCCACGTCCACTCCCTCTTTGCCAGACCACCTTCGTCTTCCTGGTCATCGTCGTACCCCTTTGGAAGGCAGGTGGTGGATAATAGAACGAATGAGAAAGCGGTGGGAAGGGATTTGTGTAACAATATGATCGGTTAAAAAGTGAGGTGGGAGCAGTGAATAACACGTAGAGGGTTTTGGAGAGGCGGTGGGAAGCATCCAGAGGGGAAGACAAAGCGGCGATGAGAAAGGAAGAAGGAAAGAATTAGATTAGATGGGATAAGCGGTGCTAGAAGCTTCAAGCAGGTAATAAAATAACAAAATGTCAAAATATGACCCTAAAAGAAAAAAAAAACAATTGCAACCCCACCATAATCAAAGGACCCATTCTGCCAACCCCTAATGCAGTTTACTGTTAAAAAGTTTCATAACTTTAATATATATATATATATATATATATATATATATATATATATATATATATATATTGTATTAAACATGGTTTATATATAAAAATAAATAAATAAATAAATAAAAGCAACGACCTATCTATCTTAAGTAATCAAACAAATCATAAAAATTAAAATTAAAAAGGTAAATAAATAGAGGTAGGCGTGGTTTATAAAAAAATAAAAAAAATAAAAAAAAGACGCGTAGAGGTTTATTTACTTTCTCAAGGGGTGAATTAGAACTAAAAACCAGAACCCAATGTACATAATTTTCAATTTAATTATTTTAAAAACTAGATTTGTGTGTGCTAGGTGTGTTTTAGATTGGTGTGTAAAAAAAATACGCAATAAGCAAAAAAGCAATCCTACCCGATGCCATCAAATTTCGGCCATTATGAAGGAATGGGACAAAACCCACATGCTCATTACATATCTCATAGCTAATTAGTTGTGATTTAACGATTTGGTTACTCTAAGTGACCAAAAGGTTGTACATAACATTAATAATCATACCATATATATATATATATATATATATATATATATATATTATATATATATATATATATATAGTTTTGTTTTTTTTTTATTATTTCATAGAGATAATAATTCTCCTTATATTAGAAAAAATATTATTTCTCAAAATAATGTTTTTTCAGTTAAATACAAGTGTTGATATATTTATTAATAATCAAATTATATTAATAAATAATCAATTAGTAGTAATTTGTCAATATCATTATATAATAACTATTGGGTATATAAGATCTTTCAATTAGATGGTGTATTTAATTACATGAGATTGATGAAAATAGAAGTTATATACTCCATAATTGGAATACAAATGAGATGAGAATGCGTTAAACTACATGAAAGATGTCATGTTGTATAGTGGTGATGAATTATGAGGAAATGTACAACAAAAGTGTTAAAGTAAGGGGAATATATGTTTGATGTGTATTAGATGTATTATTATGAAATGAAAAATGACAAATCAAAATACAAATGACAATACCTTCATCAAGACCCAAATGACACATCCAAATGAGAGATTGATGACAACTTCGACATGTGGCCAATGTGAGTAAAGTCCTTAATACTTTGAGTTATAATATATAAGTTTATATATATTTGATCTAATGATATTGTCAGTAACTGTTGTGATATGTTATGTCATCTTTAATGTGAATTCTTATGTGTGAAGAATGATGACTTGTTAAGAGATATAGTAGTACATATGGGATAATGTTATAAATACTTAATAGATATATATGGGATGTTCATGATGCTCTTGGTAAGCTTATGCAGGATGTATGTCGAATATGCTCTTATTGAGCTTATATGGGAAAATAGGAATAATGCTTTTATTGAGTTATGAAATGTATATGTGGGAAATGTTCCATAAACTAAACTGGGATGAGATGGGTCTACTATTAGTATACTTGTAGGTATGCTAAAAGAATGAGTGTGATTATATTGATCATTTTACAAGATTCAGTAAGTAGGAAACAAACATATAGCTTGATAGATTATGTTATGTGGCTTACGTAGGGGATGCGGTTCGATAGCATATGTGTGTGACTTATTATGAATATTCTATAGGAGTTTTCATGTAAAGTGAACAGATGTATGGATGAACTCATGTCTTTTATGGATATGGGAATATAGATGATGTCGATGTTTAGATGTTAACATATATTGATGAAGACATGGTAATTATGTGGATGTAAACTATGGATGAAGTCTATGTGTGATAAGATATAGATATGTTTGGAAGAACTCATTCTTTCCCTTGATATGGGAACATATATGATATCTATGTTTAGATGTTAACATATATGGATGAAATTCATTGTAATTGTGTGGATGGAAACTATAGATGAAGCCTATAATGGTGGAGCAATGATATTAGAGATGTAGTCTATGATTGTCATTTCATTCTAAGACTTGTATATGTTTGTAATGTGAGGTAAATTTTATAGCAAGAAAAATGAAACCATATAAATATTAAAGGAAAGACAAAAGGATGATATGATACTCGGTAAGCTTTATAGCTTATCATTGTTTATGGTTGACATTCCAGATAACAAGTTGAAGTGTTGAAACTTGAGTAGGGACTTAATATGCAAAGAACAAAATAAAGTATGAGATCAAGTGTAGATGATAGAAGTAGAGTGTTGATGATTCTTTTAGTTCATGTCTTTTTTACGCAATGGGTTGTAGTATATATTCAATGATATGAATTTGTTGACCCTAATGTGTAAAAAAAAAGTACATGATTTATGTCTTCTTGATTTGAAATTAAAAAAAATGTATTTTGGACTAGAAAATTTCATCCATTACAAAAATACAAAATATAACATTACGACATAACGATTCCATCCTGATTCTTTTATATTCATTGTTATAAAAAAATTGGTATATTAATCGCCACAAATACTAAAAAGTGGTTGGAGCTACAAACCTCAAATTATTATGTTAGCATTGTTATGTTATAAATATAACCAAATGAGGTTCTATCAAAGAACCAATTCTATGATCCCACTCTTCCACTAAGAAAAAGTTAATTGGAATAAAAGTGATAAGAACGTGCACTAAACCGATTTGGAAAAATAAAAGCCATAATATTGTACATAAAGAGCAAAATGTATCAAAGGATAATCACTTTTTATTCAAGACAAACTACCTTTTTCCCAAAAGGAATAACTCAACTATCAAACTTACAATAAACAGGTGGTGGGATTTAAATGTGTCTTCACGAACTACTTTTGCGAATACCATTACTTGTACAGATAATAATCATTTGAATGTGATCCAAAGTAAATATTTTGATGTCGTTATTCTCACAACCCGCTTTTTGATCCAAAGTGGATTTTGGAAGGATATTTCACTTGGAGCGGCAAAACCAAGGAAAACATATATCTTTGATAAATTTGTTTCATTCTTATTTTTGGATAATATGAGTAAAAAGTATAAAATAACCTGTTTTATTTGGTTGTATAACCTTGGTATTGCTATTTCCATTATATATTTTATTGTTTTGACTAATATCTTAACAGTTGACTAACATCTTGACTAGAAACTTGACGATAGATCCACTTCCATTAACCTTCTACATTGATTTAAAATCGGCGTTTGCACTCGTGAAGGACCACTCGTGTTGTGGATGTTGTGGCGGCGACTTTACACTTGTCGAGGACGTTGGAGAGAGAAAGCATTGGTAGGTTTAAAGGGAGGGAGAGGCGGTAGAGAAGATAACTAAAGCGGAAAGTGTGGGTGGGAGAAAATGTAGGAGATGATGGTGGGCTACAGATATCATGGCACGATCGACAATGATGGTGGTGTTCTACTGGTCTACTGTTCTTTGGGATTCTGATAACTAAGCAAGGATAATATTAGGATAATGCTTTCCATAGCTTCCTTCTATGATTATGAGGTATGGCAAATAGATGTTAAAACTGTTTTCCTTAACAGAAAACTAACACATCCAGAGGGTTTTGAACATGTCCAATATCCTAATAAGACATGCAAGCTTGAAAAGTCAATCTATTGACTTAAACAAGCATCTCGCAGCTGGAA